CTAATTGCCCCTAACTGCCCCCACTGCCAGCCTGGTCACCCCTCCCTTCCCCCCTCTGCTGGCCTGGTTGCCCTTCACTGCCCCTCCCCCCGCTGGCCTGGTCGCCCAATGCAGCCTGCTCTTTGGTCGTTGCATGAGGGCATCCTGACTAATTTGCATATTGCCCTTTTATTAGTATAGATGTGCTACTTAATGCTTACCACATTTTCATTTAAGTTCTCATTGAGATCATCCATTCTTCTTCCAAGGTCCTTGAGCATTGTTGTAACCATTGTTTTAAACTCAGCATTTGGTATCTTGGTTGTTTTCATTTCATCTAATTCTTTTTCTGGGTATTTCTCTTATTCTTTCATTTGGGGCATATTTCCTTGACTCCACATTTTATCTCTGTATATTAGGTAGATCTTCTATGACTCTCACACCTGTCATGATGGCTTTATGATGTTGGTGTCTTGTTGGGCTCAGTGGCACAATCTTCTAGGTCACCTGAGCTCTGTGCTCCAGGAATGTTTTTGTGAGTTATGTGTACCCTCCTGTTGTAGTTGAGACTTGAATGCTGTTGTCCCTTTATTGAGTTGATTTAACTCCTCATGCTGGCTGACTATAAGGATAAACTTCAATCACCATGTATGAATCACTGTGCTGAGGCTGCCCCCTAAATTGGAGTTGTTCCTAGCAGGGTCTAGTGCCTGCCAGAATTCTAATTTTGGTGTGGCCTTTGTGTGGCTACTTCAGTCAACCTCTGGTGTGGTCTGAAGCCCACCACTGGTTGTGTTGGTTCAGGGTCCACTTGGGCAGGGTTCAGGTACAATTTGATGTTAGACATTGTGTATAATCGGCCTGGGCTATCTGTCTGGAGCTACCATGCTATTCACTGTTTTTGGCTGAGTCTACTGGGTTTTGGTGTGTGGGGGAGGGACCAATCTGTGTATAAAGGTCAGTTTCTTCCAGCTAGAGCTGGAGGCAGATCTATAAAAGGACCTTTAGCAACTTGAGGTCCACCTTCTCCTGTCAGCTATTCTGTCTCCCCTTGAGGTTGCCTTTTATTTCTCCATAGCCTTTTGAAGAAAGACTGTAGAATGGGCCCAGTTTGACAATGACCCACAGACCCTTCCACAGGTTTCAAGCTTGGTAGTGCAGAGCTACTGGGGTAGGGAGGATGGGGCTAATGGGTCTTCTACTTAGCCACATGGTCAGGCACTCAATAAGGGGAAAGTGACCCCTACTCCAGAGCCAAACCACTCAGTCTCTGCCCATGTCTCCAACTCTAGCTCCCTTAGGAGGAGCATGCTGCAGGTTCAGTTTGGGTGCAGCCAGCTGTCCTCTCTGCAGGAGCAAGCTCAATAGGGCAGAGCCTCTGGGGCAGGGGGAGGGACAGCTCAAGAGTTGAGGGTAGTGCCTGCCAAGCCTGCAGGAGGGGGCCAAGAACTTCATCCCAGTCCCAGACAATAATCTCCAAGGGATACACTTCAAATGTCCTGGCTATGAGCATCCCTCCCTCCCCCCATGAAACTCAACTCAGCAGGACTGGTGGGGGGCAGATCCAAAGAGTCTTCCATTGGTGGTGGTGCCAACAGGCTTGTAGGAGTGGGGTGGGAACTTATTCCTTTTCC